GGGCGGGAGAGCGGGAAGCTCCTCCCGCCTCGAGGTATCGTTTCCCGCTCTGGCCCCGTGTTGGCTCAGGCACCGCTGGAGCGGCCCCCATCGGCTGTCTCGACCCGACCCCGGAGGGAGCCGCCCAATACCTGCATCTGCAGAGCAATCGCTCATCTGTCGTGGCAATTTCAGGATTACCCGTCTGAGCTTTCAGCGCCCTTCCTCAGAGCCCTGGAATGAAATATCATTGGCACAGAGGACAAGAGCCTGGCACAAATCCGGATGCCAGCCATGTCTCCAGACAGACTCTAGCAGCATCATTTGCAGCCCCAACCAGGTTACCCCGGACAGCAGGCGTTCATTTACTTGTCTGTGAACTGATCTCTGGAAAAGACCCTGATGTTGGGAAAGTGTGACTTAACCACTAAACAGCAACAAAAGCTGGTCTCATCGGAGCCGTTCTGTGCCAGCAATAACCTTCTGCCTTTCATATGGGACAAATAGGAGAGTCTCTTTGGAAAGAGAATACTGTAAATGGATGTGAAGGAGACATCAGTAGTGCGAAAATGCAAAAGTCATTTTCACAACCTTTTAGCCTTCCAGGATGCTGCTTTCACTGCTCTGAAAGTGTATGTATTTGTGTAGAATTAGAAAGGTATGTTGGACACAATTCTGGTAATCTCCAGATACAAGTTTCAAACTGGATCTGAAAGACCAAGGATTCTTAGTTCACTAAATATATTGATTTTGAAATAACATTTGTTGAGTGCCTTCTCTGGCCTACCTCTGCTCACACCTTCACTTTCTGTTTTGCTAGGTGTGGCGATCCCCCTTTGTGCCCTTTATACCTCTGGGCTCCACAAAGGTAAATCCGCCCTTTTCGCTGCCACCAGGTATTATACCAATACCAAATCAAATCCCACACACTCAGGAGCTGTCACCCCAAATTGTCATACAATTTCAGGAGACAAGGGTTTTAAATAAACATTCTTTTATTATTGAACAGGATCATAAGTATAATCAAATGTAACTGTGTTATATATTCATGTGTGTTAAATCAGGTGTTAACGTATGTCAGATCATGTCAATATTTCTTTTGATAAACTGATGAGATCATTCCTGCTTGTCCAATATGTTTTATTCTTTCAATTTCTTTTCTTAACCCTTTTTGTTACTCCTATGCCCTAGCACTGTTTCAATAACTTCCGGTCCCTAACTCTCTCTATCCCTATGTCTATCTGATTCCCCCTCCTAACTGTCTCACCCAGCTGTTCCAACTGTCATTCTGACTCCACCCCTCCTGCTCCATCCCCTGATTGACAGGCAGGAATGACGTCATACTTTGGGTACCGTTACAGACCTCCCTCCTTTGCAAGTTTGTTCCATGGAGGAAACCTATAGTGGTTTGCTCCATGAACAACATAGAAGCACTTTAATATTTCCACCTCTTATTAACATTACCTATTTTAAATTCACATTAATACTTACTCCAAATTTTTACCTTCAATTACTTATCATTTGCAATTACCATTTTCAATTCCTTTGTTATTACATTTT